TCCTTTGTCTGACGGCAATTAGCCGATTAACAATCAATCATTAACATCCCGACAGGTTATAGTCACAGGGGAAGCTCTGTGTCTGTGGTTGAGGAAATACAAATTATTTGGAGTTCCTTAAACTTGAGCAAGGATGTAAACTTAACAGACATTTGAAAGAAACAAATGCAGGTTTGTCAAAGGTTCTAGTGTGTTTTTCCAAAAGAGCAGTTTTACTTTGACTTAAACTGTTCAAACTTTACATATTAGTCTAACTTTGGCTCCTGAATTAGTCTGATTCAAGTCAGACAAAACAAAAGCTGAGATATTAGTCATTCAGGCAACCTGTGACCCAAGACCAGCACGACAGAGGATGAAAACCTGGTTCAGAATCTTCAAGGAGGTTCAAGCTCCAAGCTGGAGCGAACAGAGCGGAGCACCGAGTTCTGATAAACGAGTCAATTTACTGTAATTTCATCATGAATTATTCCCAATCAGGACGATGGTGAACTAAACAGCATTTAGATTTATGTCTCCGTGTGAAGCCGTCAAAGTCTGCCTTTGTGAAAGCAGCACAAACCTGGAACCTGTGTTTATCGCAGATCATTTAGTTTATATAAAAATCCATCCATTTCCTGTAAAAACCTGCTCAACAAGTGCTCCCGGATCATTATTATTGATGCTCCGTATTAAGGCTGCAGCGGGCGGAGGCTCGATATGTTGCGCTCATAAAACACAACCGGCGTCGTGGGAATGTGTTTGCGGCGTAATGAAATTATGAACTTGGATGGAAAGTATAATGAAATCATCACTTTGCTGCAGCTCTAATGGATTCCAACAACATGGCAGCGAAAACCTCCGCCGCCGAACGGGGACTTATTTCAGTAAATTACACATTATCATCCATTCAATCCACGCTTAGCTGAACGTTTTAATACAAATGAATCAATCGGATCAAGGCGGTTTTATTGTCTCATGATATAATGGCATGACAGAAAACCAAAGAGTGAATAATGAGAGCGCGTTTGTTGATCCGGATGTTTTGTTTTCTACCTCTGATTCGTCAGAACACTTCTACACCGATCAGATGAAGGTCTGTTTGGTTCCTGAGCTGCATCCAGATGATAATTAAGCACAGAAGTATTGTTTTGACTATTTTTAATTAAACCCGTTGAGCAAAGGGACGCACTGTGTGAAATTAGATTGTTTTCATACTGCAGTGATTTTCTTTAGCTTAGAGACGGAGTTTGATCAGGAGGGAAGTTTCCACGTCCTTGCAGAGAAAACTTCACATCTCTGCAACTCACTGATAAGCAGCTCATTTGTTTAACCTGCGAAAAGAAAGAAAGGAAAAACTGTCAAAATTTAGTTTTATGCTTTAAAGTGACTTAATTCAACACAGGAGCAACTAATTGGTGCACCTGTATCTCCAAGGTCCAGATGGATACAAGAACATTTACAAGT